CGTATGCAATTTTGTTTCATTTCCATGAAACTAGCCCTGTCTGTGAACATGCCTCCTTCCTGCCTTGACTACTAAGCAGACTTCTTAGGACAACAACAAAGTGTGTTGTGCCTTGTCTGCTCTAAGGGATGCTCATAACAAGGCCCAGAACATAGTGCCCAGTAAGCGTTCAGCAAGCATCTGCCCATTTGCTAAAGGGATTATCTCCTAGGAAGAAATGGTTCTGTCTGAAGATATGGCTGGAATTCAGTTCAGTGTTAGAGGAAAGTGTGGCAATCCTGCCTTCCTGTTCATGGGCATGCTGAGGAGGTGTCAAACCCTTGAAGACACCAATGACATACGTGGTTTTCTTAAAGTCAGTTCAGTCCAGCTCATCACCAAAGCAGGAGTCCTACCAAAGGGACTGTGCCCTCCCTATCCATACATCAATGGCTCCCCAACCAGTGACCTCCTCTTGTCATGTCTTAGGCTCTCTGCTTTCACCCCATTGTCATCCACCTTTCTGTGGACTACTTGAATCACATGTGCTCTAAAATCAGTAATCCCTGATGGGACACTGAATCCATCCAGTCTCCTTGGCCTTGGAGCCCAGCTATTTCCCGGGCCTAGTCTGCCTTTGCAACATGTTACCTCCCACTATGCTCCTGTGTGCATGGTGAACCCAACCCCTCCTTGGGGCACTCTTACTTTTGATCAAGAACACAGCTCAGTGTCCGAGAGCTTATGAGGGGCTTCATAGACCTTTCTCTATTTCCAGTCACCTTTGTCTAAATATGCTTCAGTTTGCCGTGTCCACTAGACCTCTATTACCATGGCCAAGGTCAAACGTCACATCACAAAGGCCACATCCCATTCTTGGTCCTAACTGACCACCAGCTGTTAACTCTAAGCCTCTTACTGGATCATTAACCTGCCAGTAAATATAAAGTGTGCTTCCTCCCACTCATACAGACGCCCCCCCCCCAGGTGATGAATTCAAGAAGAGAGTCTTAAAGTTGAAGAAACCTTCTTATATCAAAAATCAGGAGACCTCAGGAGACAGTTTGTTAAATGATGGACCCAGAAAAGTAAAATAATTACATGATTTGTGGATACTTTGGGATAGAGGAGTCTGAGTCCCCCTCATAACTTATATGACAGCTTCTTTCTGGCTTGGAGAGAAGGGCCAATGAAGCACATAGCCCAAAGCAGGGTTCTCATGTTCTAGAAGAGCTGGAGTGTGTGTGTGTGTGTGTGTGTGTGTGTGTGTATGTGTGGACAGTGCATGCATGGCTGTGTGCATAACATCTCAGGGTTCTCCTGGCCTGAGAGAGAGAGAGACATTCAGAGACGGAAACAAAGCTCTGCCCTTCTTTCGGGGATGGCCCTCCCCACCACACCCAACAGATCACACTTCAGAGAGGGATGTGGGGGGGGGGGGGCTGCAAGCTGGATTTAAACGATAGGAAGGCTTCTGTAGAAACCAAGAAAAGAGAGTCTGCTCTGAAGATGTATTGGAGACCTTCCCAAGCTTCCAACTTGTGTCATCTCACTTTGTAGAAGCGACCCACACCTTGGGTTTGCACATGGCAATGTGCATCTCCTCCCATCACGCTGATCAACTTCCAGATTCCTAGTCTCCCTTCTGTGCCCTCGTTCTTCATTTCTAAAGGAACTGCAAACGTCGCACTCTGATTTTGTTGGTGGCGGTGACGATGCTTCCTCAGAAGATAAGCCCATTTATCTTTATATAAGCCCGGAAAAAAAGAATCCAAAGAGATGATTACTGACTTCTTTTATCTCTTTCTGGGCTTCCAGTGAGTGGCTTTCTTGCCTGGGATCCTCTGTACAGCTGGGAGAGGCGCGGAACTGAGGTGCTGACAGCTTGTGTTGGAATCACATGGTGTTTACTGTGCTGTGAGTTTATAACGGCCTTGTTTCCATACTGACAGCAAATGCCATATGGAGAGAAAAAATCCTGTCAGATGAACCCTTAAGGAATCACAAGATGGTACAGGAAATCTCTTAATTGCTTTTGGAAATGGGGAGGGGCCCATTGCTCAAATCACATAAGCCGAGTGGGTCTGTCTGCCCTAGTTGAATAAAACTGGAGACTGACTCTGGGTAATGTACTTCCATTCTGTGTTTGTGCTGGGGAGGTTCAGCTGATTGGGAAAGCGTGAGGAAGTTTGTTTTCCTCACCTGGGGGGGAAGGGCGGGAATCAGGCGGAGTGGGAGGCAGTGAGGGAGCGGGAGGCTCTATCTACCCGCATCACGCTCACAGGTGCGGGCTACCGACCTGTCACCCTCTCGCTCCCTCCTCCCAGATTCCCTGCTGCGGCTGAGGATAACACTCATCTGACTTGACATTTTATTACTGTCACTTGGGATCTTGTCTGCTCACCCACACACGCTACCCTTTCCAGCGGAATCCAAGCTCCCTGAGGGCTGGCACTGCAGCCCGTGCCCCGCCGCCCCAGCAACTCTGGCCCACGCTGAGGTGGGTTCAAGGTCCGCTGGAACGGCTCTCTGGGAACCGTCTGCGCGGGGAAAGGTCACCGAGTTAAGGCAACGGTCCAGAGCACTCGGGGAGCGGAGCAAGAAGGGAACCCGAAGGCGGCTCTCCGTGCTGACCGAAGTGTCCGTTCGCGAGAGGACGAGATGTTTGGGTGCCGCCTTACACACATGGTACTTAGGACCGGTGAATCCCACCCCAAGTGGCTGCCCTCGGGCCGTTCACCCGTGAGAGGAGAAGCGGGCTGCAGATCTGTCCAGCCTGGACGCCTCGGCCCTTGCGGTCCGAGTCGCCGTGGCCACGAGCCCAAGCCAGCGGACCCCCCACTCTGTCGGCGAAATGAAAGCGCCGGCACCAGGCTGGCCTCACTGAGGCGGGCTTCAGGGGCTCCTGCGATGTCGCAGCGCCGAGTTTCCTTCTTCTGCGTTCAGCCTCGCCTTCCCCGTTTCATTCGCTCTGCGTTCTCACTGCCTAGTGGGAAACACAGCTGCGGCAGCACTTGGCTGACTGAGCCTAACACTTCGGCATCCCAGGGAAGAACAGGCGTCTCTCCTTTAACTTCTAGAAGACTCCTACCCACTCAGGTCAGGTGCCCTGAACCTATCATGGTGGCCTGGACACAGAAGGGGGCTCTGATTGGCTGGGGGCCAAGTCACATGTCTGTTTCTGAACCTTTCACTGTGATAAAAATAAGGACTTCTGATTGGCTAGGGCGGAATCACATGCCCATCCTCACCCTATTGTATGGCTGGGGGGTGAAGGCTCTGGTTGGCTAGAACTGGGTCACATGCCCATCGTGTGTCATTCTTAGAACCTAGGGCTGGATTTTTATGGTCGCGGGGACGGAGATTTCCTTGAAGGAATGGGAATGGAGAGCAAGAGACCCACCAACTCCATGATAGCACGTGGTGTTTAGTAAGCATTTTCTGTACGTTAGGTTCTGTTCTGAGTCTTTTCTATGCATTGTCTTATTTAATCCTCAGGATAGTGCCAGAAGGTAGGTATGATTAGTGTCCCCAGTTTACAGATGAGGAGACTGAAGGATGTAGGTGTTAAGTCAGATGCCTCAGGACACACAGGCGCACAGTGAGGCTGACGTTTGAGCCCAGGCATTTAGCTCCAGAGCCCATGCTCACAGCCACCATCCTCCCTACAAGTCACAGCTTTACCTGCTATGGATAAACTCTTCGGGTGTGAAAGTGAGTGGACATGATGGTTGTGGTCCTATCTCCTTGTTGTGTTCCTTGTCTTCAGAGAAATCCCCTCTCCGGGGATGATTGTCCCTGTTCCTCCTCTGCACTGGGCGAGGATATCGTCATTCCTTTTGTTTGGGTGGCTCTCCTGAGGTCTAACTCACCCTCTTCCTGGTTTGCCCACGAGGACAGCTGACTGTTCCTAGTGCAGCTACACAATCAAAGGTCCAGCAATGAGTGCTGGAGAGGGTCCGAGGTAACATGACTCAGTCAGTCCATTGAGCATCTTTCTGGCCAGAGAAAGCTCCTGCAGAGGCTTTAGCATCATCGCAGGAAGAGCCAGAAGGTACCACTTGCAGCCCCCTCCCCAACCCCCATCTTACCTCCAACAGGCACCTTTATTGTCCAGAGGAAGACTGAGGCCCAGAGAGAGCAAGTCAGTTGCCTGAAGTCACATAGCAAGTCATTGGCCAGCACCTGGTCTCCAGGCCTCCAGGCTTGCAGTCTCGCACTGCATTTCCTCTTTGGAGCTCTCTTGGCTGTTGTGTGCCTGAGGGCTGGTCGCTTCTTGTTTCCATGCCTCTAGCTGCTCAGCTGGAAAATGCAGGGTTTTCATAATTTGAAGTGCTTTGAATTACAAGTAATTTTTAAATCTTTTCAAACTGCCCTAAACAAAGCTCATAAATAAACTTTTCAGATGTGGTTTGAGCTGCAGGCACGGCTTGATCCAGAGATTCATGACACCGCGAGGACACCACCTTTACTTTTCGTCATTTTCCCACCCCTGACCTGCTGTGTGTGTGAGCCTCGTCATCATGGGAGCTTCCCTTGCAGTATCAAGGGCACTGCAGATGACCTTGGTCTTATACCCGTGCACCCCAGCCCTCAGAGGAAAAGAGAGCATTTCTGCTCAGTGTCCAAGCACAGAGTGTGGTCCACTCCAGTTGGAACTGGTTTGGATTACATGCCTGCCGCCCTTATCCAGTCACTAAGTGGGCAGTGTGACATGGTGATCAGCCATCCAGGCGGTGGCGTCACTGTCCCCGGAATTGCTGGCATCTGGCATACAGGAATCAGGGCATCGGAGAGGGGGAGTGAGCTAAGACTAGAGGTTGGGGCATCACTGGTGCCATCCTCTAAAATGCCCTTGTCCCCTCTGAGTCTGCACAGCTTGGAGAGAAATGAGGGGTCCTGAGAGTTTGCCAGTCGTCTCGCTCCATCCCTCTGGGATCTGGATCCAGGTGTGGGTTGCCTGGACAGCCCTGCCTGCCTCTCGCCTGCATCTCACCACATTCTTCTTTTCTTGTTTCCAGACAGAGATTACTGCAGTTTATGTGACAAGCAGCCAATTGGGAGACTGCTTTTCCGGCAGTTCTGCGAAACCAGACCTGGGCTGGAGTGTTACATTCAGTTCCTGGACTCAGTGGTAAGTCCCTGCTCCTGGGGAGGCCCTTTGGTCCTCTGTGATCAGTGATTGTTTTTGCCCAGAGGAAAAAATAGACCACATCATTTAGAACGGTGAAGAATGAGGTTGTTGCTTAAGAAATTTCCAGTGCAGACTTTGAGAATGCTGACTTGTCTGCAAGTCTGCACCCGCTGGGTCACTATGGAGAGGTCACCTCCCTCTCTGGGCCTCAGTTACTGCTGTTTTAAAGGGAAGTGCTGTCATTTTTCTGATTCTGGGAGCCTGGGTTAGTATGCAAGGTGGCGCCTGGGGAAGTTGGGTAACACCCCAAGGTAACAGTCGGATTCCTTGGTCCCTTCTTCCAGCTGAAAACCCATTTTCTAAATTCCAAACCTTGTGTTTGTTTGCTTATTTACTGTCTACTTTTCCACTAGAATGTAAGTTCCCTGAGGCCAGGACCCTGGGCTTCCCCTTCAGCCCTGCATAGCACAGAGCATGGCACATACAGGCTTTAAGTAAACGTTTGTGTAATGAACATATGTTGGCCATTGAAAGCCAGTCTGACAGTTGCTGGCTCCAGCAACTGCTGGCATGTATGGACACGTTTGACGCCGAATGGAGACTTCCTTCAGATTTACCAGTCATTGATTTGTTACACAAACGGTGCCTCGTCCGCATGGGCTGTTAGAACAGGACGTAGGACTATGCAGGAATTCCTCAGCACTTGTGCAGGAAGGCAGGGCACCCCATCCTGGCAGGCTGCCTTCTGGGTGTCTATCCAGGGAAGGTGGACAGTGGGTGGGAGGGCAAGGAATGGAAAGGAATGGGATATTTCCAGAGTTCCTTCTCAGGGCAGGGGACCAAGATGCTGCTATTTCCTAGAGGCCCTGATGCCACTCTTGGCTGAAGCCATCCCAACCTCTGTCTAGGTTTAGGGGGTAGTCCTGTGGGGCCCAGGATTCTGTGTCTGCTTCGGGGTCTCAGTGTGAATCTCTAGATTTACAAACCAAACTGCCCACTGAGTGGCTCCCCCAGAAGTCACCTTCCCCTCGATCCCCAAACCTACTAGGCCTGACATGTGCCTGAATCCAGTGACCAGCACCCGTAGTCACCTAAGCCTAAAAACTTTGGAATGTCCTTGACCCCTTTCTCTTCATCATCCCTTCCCCCATCTAATCCAGGACTATATGCTTGATTCCTTGACCCCTCGCAGACCAGTTCCTCCATTGCCTCTGTCTTGGTTTTGGTGGAGGCTCTCAGCATGTCTCACATAGTGACTACAAGAGTTTTCAACCTTGGCTGAGTAATAGAAACACCTGGGGACCCTTAATAATTACCAGTGCCTGAAGTTGAAGCCCAGACTCATTAATCTGAATCTCAGAGGGGGTGGGGGTGGGGCTAGTAGTTTCATAACTTCTCATAATTTCAAATGGTTAAAAGTAAAGTCATAGAGCAATATATGCACCCCTCACCCCACTCGAACCATTATGAACTCACAGCCAGTCTTGTTTCGCCAGGTCCTGCCCCCGCCCCCCCCCCCCCCCGGTAGCGTTTCGTAGCAGATCTCACACATAGGATCTCATCTGTGAGCATTTCTGTTCAGTATTCCTGAACGATAAGGGCTCTTTCTCACACAAAAAAATCACCACAATACCCTTCGTGCAACTCTAAGAAAAGTAATTATTATCATCAAATATTAGTGTTTAAATGTCCAACTTTCTCACTTTTTGTAAATGCGTGTTTTAACAGGTTAAAACCATCTCTCCTTGTTCATCCTTAAGAATGTCCCATAGTGTGAATTTGCTGTCATCCCACCTGTCATGTAATGGGTATCTCTGAATTGCTTGCAAATTGCTGATTGAATCAAGAAACTTGACCAGATTCAGTTTCAGTTGGGTTTTTTGGTTGTTGTTGTTTTTTGGCAGGGGCAGGGTGACTTCATAAGTGGTTTCTTGTTCTTCCATCAGGGGACGTTACTCCCTGCTTGTCTTTCTGTCAGAGATGGAGGCTGATTTAGGCGGTACCCAAATGTGTTGATTAAGTAGGGGTTGCAGCGCGGCGACATTCTCATTTTGTCATTCCTTTTTCATTTGCTAACTGGGGCACTTCCTTTTGATTACTATTTGGTTACCCGGTGGTAAAGTTCATGGAGGAGTTGCTTCATTCTTTCCCTGTATTTATGTTTTCTAAATACCGGATCGGTTCACTGGCACCTTCCAGTAGTAGTAACCAATTTGTTTTAAAGGTGTGGATTTACACATGATGCATTTCGGCATGTGGTGGTCATTATCCTTACTGATGCTCTGGGATCTCATTGTTGGCCACAAGGTTGGATTCTCAGCCCTTGAGAGGATGCAGTCATCACGGGCCACTGTTTGCTATCCTGTAGGTTGCGGTGTTACAGCTGATATTGTATCTTTCCTGCCCTAGATTTAGAGTCCTTTGTATCTCCAAGGAGCCCTGGTTCCTCTACTGGGAAATGGTACTTGGAGACCACAGTTTGCTCACTACCCATGGACTGGGCCTGAATTCTAATAGACATCAGCATTTTTCAAGTTACCCCTGGCTGTACTGTGTATCCAGGGTTGGGAAGCACTGACATCTAGGATAGAGTCCGAAGTTCTGAGGCTGAATACCAGGACTTCCACGGCCAGGCCCCCACCTGCACTATTCATCCTTGACCTTCACCCGGGTCTTTCTTGAGCCCTGCGTTTTTGGACTTGCCACCACCGAGGTTGAAGTCTCTCGGCTCTGGCTTCCTCACTCCTGATTTCTGAAATGCCCCCACGTAGCCCTCAGGAGAATGCCTGCTTGTTCCTTCTTCTCTCATATTCTACTCTCAGAAGCCTTCCCTAGCCACCCCGCCCTGTTGTGCCCTCTGCTCTAGGTGCTGGCTCCAAACTGCACCTGAGCCTCATTATTGGGCCGCGCTGGCAGAATGGTGTTATTAGTCAGGCATGCAGCCTCCACAGACAGACCAAAGGAGCAATGCTGGCTCTGGGTGGGTGCTGAACCCCTCTGTGAGAGTTCGCCAGGGGAGTATGTGGTGGAAGGGCAAGGCAAGCAGGGGAACAGCCAGTGCAAAGGCCTACAGGCCCAGCATCTGTGGCTGGAATGGAGGGAGCAAGGGTAGAGAGGGGTCTAGGGGAGTTGTTGATTATGCAAGACCTTGTGCCATTAAAGAACTTTGACTTTGAGTGAAACGGGGAGCCAGTGGAGGGCTCCGAACAGAGCAGTGACATGGTCTTACAGGATTCTTAGGGATCCCTCTGGCTCCTGTATTGGAGGGGAAAGGGTGGACACAGGAGTTCTGATAGGAGGCTACTATAGTGGTCCAGGCGAGGGCCGATGGTTGCTCAAGCCAGCGTGGAAGCATTTGGCAGTGGTGAGAGTGGATGAATTTGGGGCATGTTTTGGAGGCAGAGTGAACAGTATTTTTGGATGCCTTGTGGGTGAGATAGAAGAGTTAAGGATGACTTCAAAGCATTGACCTGAACAGATGGAAGGATGGAGTAAGGGAAAGCTGTGGGAGGTGTGTTTGGGAGAAGACCAGGAGCTCCATTTTAGGCACGCTCAGCCAGAGGGTCTCTCGGACGTCCAAGTGGAGATGATTGAGGGGAGATGGATGTTCAAGTTGGTGTCTGCAAGAAAGGTCTGGGCTAGATATGGAAGATGGAGAGTAGAGCTGGTATTTAGGGCCATGGGCTGGATGTCAACGTAGAGCTGGTATTTAGGGCCATGGGCTGGGTGAGCTGACCCAGGAAATGAATGTGGAAGGAAAGGTGAGGACCAAAGACCAAGCCGTGGACCAAGACTGCTTCCCATTTGGAAAAGATGAGGCATTGCCAGCTTTGAGACTCGTCTAGAGAGTTGATGAGGCAGAGCAGGGCAAGGCTAAACCCAGGAGCCAGTGGAATTTTCCAGCCACGTGTCTTGTTAGACGCTTATAGTCAGTTTGAGAAGAAGAAAAAAAAATCCAATGGATGCCCATTTTCATTCTAGTCGTGCAGACGTTCCCTTTTGCTGGGCCAGTACCAAGAGCTCTTTTTCTGGAAAGGAAATGTGAGTCTGGCTCCCCGTGTTGATGCGACAAATGTTCTTTACATTCGCCTTCACGCCGTCGCCACTCAGAGAGGCCGGCCCCGCCCCTCGCATTTTGTCTGCATCTCTGGGAACTAGCAGGGCCTTTTCATCACCCATCTTGACGTCAAATGACCAGGCTTTGGAACACCTCTTTTACGCAGGAAGGCTTTATTGAGTTTTCCAGGGCTGGCGCAGCCCTCGCCTGAAATGGGTTTTTTCCTTCCACCCTGACTGGAACTCCGAGGAGGCCGCATACAGCCCCGGTGCTCCTTGGCTCAGCCGGCACCATCCATACTGTTCCCACCTCTATGTTGAATTTCTCCCAAGTGGGATTTATTAAAAATAACCCGTCCTCGTCAGGCTCTGACATAGTCCCCAGGAAACGCTGCTGTCCTGCACAGTCCCAATGTTTGAGTTTCTCGAGTCAAGCAGGAGACCCGTGGCTGTTTTAAAGTGGGGACTGGGTAACGGAGGGGCAGCGGAACTGCCGTGTGTCATTCAGCAGGCCGCAGGGGTAACACACCCCTCAGTCTTAGTTGTCAAGGGCCTCTTGGGAGCCTGAGAAGGACTCCCTCATTGCCCTTCTCACAGAGAAATGGGATCAGAGACCAAAGTCAAAGCTGTGACTTGATTTGACCTCAAAGAGGATTTGCCCACCTGGTCGGGACCAGAAGGGGCTCCAGTGTCAACCTCCACAGGCCAGTAGGGCCTTTCCACAGACTTCGTCAAGATTGATGTACTTCTTCTCTCCCCTGATTTTCTGGGAGCTTTGGTGGCATGCCAGCTCATTTAGAACCCTCCTGTCCCCTCACTTGGGTGGCATGACTGAAAGTTCTCAGGTCCCTTCTCTTTGGGGTTGGGGAGATGTGGCACATGCCCAGTCAGCTGTTTAGCACTTATTTCCTGGATGTCTGTAGTGTATCATCCTCTGTTCTAGC